CCCTGAGCCCTGTGATTGGGGGCCTGGTGGGAGTGGGGACATCTGACTTCCTGTGCTTGAGTTCCTTGAGAGCCTCATTTGCTTCCTCACACCCTCTCCCCTTCACACCAGGACCTTTTTATTGTTTTATAACCTTCTTTAGAGCTTCAGTTGCCAAAGATTCCGATGGGGCTATTCTCCACTTTCTCACTTTGCCAAACCCCAAGTCTTGCTGTTTTAAGCAGTTTGGTCACTTGCAAAGTCTTCTCTTTCAGATCTAAGGAAATTATAGAAAGCTCTAGGCATGTGGCTATCTTCAACATTCTCCAAGCCCATCCACAACAATACAGAGGAAGCCAATTGCCATCCCCACCCAAAGCCCACCCAGCCTCTCCCTAACCACTCTTTCTCTATTGAAACTTGAACAAAATCTCAAATAATTTCCAAATTCTTTCATTAAGCAAATAAGAAGTGGCCTTTGACTTTCCTCTTTACCACATCTAAAGCTAGAAAACGATTGAAATAAAGGAGTTGATGGTACTCACAGCGAATGCAGCCAAAGAATCATAAGACATGCCCACCAACCAGCCTTTTCCAAATAGCACTATCTCCCAATTTAAACAGCCTTCTCTGAAAAGATGCTATTTGAAAAGCCTGGGGTATTGATATGAATATGACCTCCCTTGCATTCTGGATATTTGGAACTATTTAAATCTGAGGGAACAGTTGCAGTGAACCTTTATTTAGTGAATAAAAGTTTAAAGGCAAAGGTTATTTATGGTTCTGCAGAGATGGGACCTGAGTGGCTATTTACAAGCACGTGATTCCAATAAACTTTGTTTTATGGCTTGAGAGTTGACAAGCCAAAATATAATTCCCACCATAAATTAGGTTAAGAGCATACAAGTGCAGATGCTTGATTCCTGGAGCAGCGATAGGAAAGTGAGAGGCTCCAGCCAGCGCCGGGCTCAGAAGGAGACAGTTCTACTCCCAGTTCCCCTGCCCACTAGGAAAGAAAAACAGTAAGTCACTTACTTTTTCCACAACAACTGGAGGTGGGGGGAGGATTGCTCTGCCCTGACTTTGCTGCTTAGGGAGTCTCATTGAAGTTAATTCTAATTTAAGCCTAAACCCTAAATTGACATATAGAATGGGAATCTAAGTTTTCTTTCCTTCTCTTCTGAACATGGAAAGTTAGGAATTGAAGGCTTCTAACTCACAAGGGGAACTTACTGCCTTTCCCCTCCCCAAGATGGAGCATCTACTTCATAAGTGGAGTAAAACAGTGGTATTCTGGGTGGGGAGAGAAAATGAGTGTGGGCTTTGCCCCTCAGATTTCTCAGAGAAGATTGCTATCCTAGAATAAAACTGGAAAAGACTAAATACTTAAAGCTGAACACCAATCCCTGAAAGGACCGCTGCTTTGTAAGATGGTTTGTGGGTTCTCCAGCAGCAATTCTGAAACATTGATGTCATACCCAGAGAGCTAGGTAACAATCTAAAGAATTGCCATTTACCTTAAAACCCATTGATTTTCTTCCTCCCTGATTATCATTTGGGTCTTCATTTCCCCTGGAAATTGCTCTTTGTGTTAGATTGGAGAAGAAGAGAAAAGGCAAGTCCCAGTTATGCCTGATCCTTTTTTTAGGGAGGAAGAGAAGGCAGGTTTGGGAGGGTCACTGGTTGGGGTTGAGGAATTTGAAACGGATCTGAAACTAGAAAAGAAAGCTGAATTACTTCCAGAGAGAGAGAGAGAGAGAGAAGGGGAGCTGGGTTAGGGGACAGATGGACCGGTCATCCCCTCCTGTAAACCTGCACCCACCCGGCTGTTTATGCTGAAGACAAGACACAAAGGCCCATTTTCTCCTTGCTTCCCGATTTCCCACTGCGGAAACCCTGTTAAAGACAGTCTGAGGCGGGCCAAACAACCAGTAGGGTTTTGCCCAAGGGTGCGGGGAGTGGGGGAGGTGGTGGGGACCAAACTCTCCTGTTCTCTGTGGGTCTGCCCTTGGGCGCTGCGGTCCGAGGAGAACTTTGCGCAATTCCCAGGGACCCGCGCCCAAAGCAGGAAGGTCTGAGTATGGCCTGGGGTGAGGCGGTCTGGGCCTTGTCATTCTTCTGTGTCATCTATTTCTTTTTTATTATTCTGTGGAATTTAAGTGAGCTCCGTTTTCATTGCAACAGGTTCAGGACCTGAGAAAGCGCCGCTGTAAGTACCTTCCCGTTTCTTCCGAATTGCGAAGAGGCGGTCCTGATCCTGGGAGATGGTGGGTGAAGGGCCAGCTCAGTGGGCGGGTGGAAGAACGGCCCTGCCTCCCCGGGCCTGGCCGGTGGAGAAGAGCTCGCTTTGGGAGGTGGAGGTTCCAAGTTGAGCTCCTGGGCAGCTTTTCCGGGGCCTAGTTCACAGTCACCTGCCTAAGGGAACTTGCCGCGGGGTCTCGCCCTGGTCTCTTTGGGCCTCCCTGGCTCTTCCCGGCCTTCTCAGGCTTCGCCTCTCGCACAGGTGCAGCTCCGCTGGAGCGGTCGCTTGGGTCAAGAAGCATGCAGCTAATTAGCAGCCCACCCTATTAAGTAGCGGGGAGCATCCCCTCCAGCTCCAACAACACAGTAAACAGCAAGTGATCCCCCTCCTCAGCCCAGTCCAGCTTAATCTGGCCCAATCTCGCCCAGACTTCTCCTTCCCCCTCTATTTAAATACATTAATTAAAACAAACAAACAAACAAAAAACCCTCAATGGGCTGGCATGTTTTCAGCTGGCCCGCTTCTGGGAAGGGCTGAGAATTTGGAGCTTTACACGGACATCCTTCTCCCACCCCCTCCCCCTGATCCAACTTGAGCTGTGTGGGCTCTGGGTTTCCTACACGAGCTGGGTGAGGAGAGTACAGATTCCTCTTGTTCACCTCTGCTTTTCTATAACAGCAGTTTAAGAATTTCTGGGCCAGAGTTGCTGGTGCCCTAAGGAAACAGTAGGGGTGGGGTGGAGTGGGGCCAGAGACTCTTGGGTTCCTTGGTTCGGAAGTCTGGATCTCTCTGAGCTGCCTGGGATATGAAAGACAGGTACACTTCTGAGGAGGTCTGTGGAGTCTCCAGGAGGACCATCTCATTAAGATTGTGGTAGTGGTGGGAAGGTCAAGAAAACAATAATGACCCCTCCCTCACTGCAAAACGAAGGTGATTTTCTTATAATGGAAAATGGGATGCGCTAGGACTGCAGGAACCAGGCATCCTCTATTCATGGTTGGAGAAACTAGTGCTGGTCTCAGGGATGAGTTTCTTTGCCCTGCTAGGCTGGGTAGTAGTTGACTCCCTGGGGCTGTGCTCACCCTGAGATGTTGAGATCTACCCAGCACTTCACCTAGTTCCTCTCTGACCCAGTCTGGCTCAAGTAAAATAGGGCACTGGGCTCCAGGCTGAGAGTGTCCTCAGAACCTCCTGGTCTTGCCGCCCTTCTCCTGCTGCCCTCGTTCTAGGTGCTTATCTTTGCCAATGCTGCTCACTTTCAAACTCACATTTGGTGCCTGGTAGCTGAACACAGCACAAAAAGCCCGAGAGATCAAAAGCATTAGTATGGGCAGTTGAGCGAGAGGTGAATATTTAACGCTTTTGTTCATCAATAACTCGTTGGCTTTGACCTGTCTGAACAAGTCGAGCAATAAGGTGAAATGCAGGTCACAGCGTCTAACAAATATGAAAATGTGTACGCTGGCCCAAGTCCTCACCCACCTCATCAGACTCCCCCAATTTGCCTGGGCAATACCTAGGTAGGCCCACTATTCTAGGAAACCAGGTAGAGGAAAGCACTTGGTATTAGGGGAAATTGGTGATACTCTCTTGGGACAAAGAGATTCAGTAGCCTTAAAGCCCTTGTTAAAAGAGACACAGAGGAAATTCCTGTAAAGTAACTAAAGCAGTAGAACCAAAGAGTTGGAGGCAGTTGTGCATGTACCAAGTGCAGAATAGAAGTAAGCAGCCGAATTTGCCAGGCGTGATGGGGGTGGGGGTATCCCTGCCCCACAGACCCAGGTCTGAGACTGAAAAACTAATTTTTGAATTATAGGTGGGGTGGATCAAAACAATATTAAAAATTTGGATACCCTTGGCCTACTATCATGCATCTAAAAACCTCATTCAAGCCAGGAAATCTCTCTGTCTCTGAACTCTGCCTGGCTTCTAAATGTGTCTTCGTTCCTGATGCCCTGAACTGAGGGGCAAGCCCCGGACAGCACAGAGGCGCTGGGGCGGGCAAAATTCGTGAACTTTTGTACTCTTGTGTGCTGCTGTCGGCAAAGCAAAAATAATGAAACTTTGTGATATGTTTGTAAATGATTTTGAATGACCCCTCACCCTACCCTTCACCATTAGCACTCCGGCCTCAGCTCAGGTCAGCTCGGTGCCTGTGAGCAGTGCCTTGCCTTGGGGTCTGCAGGAGCAGCAGGGACGGAGAGGCCAGCCGGGCTGAGGGCCCAGGAAGGTAAATGTGTGGCTTCTGGGACAATTAGCTTGGCCACCAACCTGAATTAGCCAAGCAGTGGGGGAAGGAACAGGCAAAAGATATTTCCTTCTTGCCTCTTTTGCTTTTGCTGCTGAGGGCATTTACTCCTTTCTGGAAAATATCACTTGATGAGGAAGGAGAAGGGTATTTTGGATCCCATGAGGGGGTAATAAAGCCGCCATCTCTAGGATGCTTTATCTTTTTCTTCTTTTCTTTCTTTTTTTTAAGAAGAATGCCCTGGTTTCTTGCTGCTCAATAACCCCATCCCTGGCAAAGAATTAAGGAACTGGTTGCTGCAAATTGCCACCAAACCTGTCAGTCTACTTAAATTGTCTCCGAAAATGCTGGTGGCTGCATTGGGCTGGTGGTGATGCAGAGGAAGAGGCCAGAGCTGGCAGCCGTCTGAGTTTCTCCCTGGGTAGGACCCGAGGTTGTAACGTTGTCTATATATACCCTGTAGAACCGAATTTGTGTGGTATCCACATAGTCACAGATTCGATTCTAGGGGAATATATGGTCGATGCAAAAACTTCAAGTTTCTCTGAAATAGCCAAAGACCAAAGACGGAAGCAGCTGGTATGGGTCGGCTCCCTTTTTCTGTTTCATTACCTTGGACTCCAGGAGGATGGACTGTGCCTGGTGATATCATGCAGGCTTTTCCTCAAGAAGTTCCTCACCTTTAAATGGAGACTCCGGTGGATATTGCTACAGAAAGAAACCCTGATCGGTTGTACAAATGCAGGGCTAGAGGGCTAGTTTTGGAGTATTGAGGAGTAAAGTGAATGGCCAGCTGGCTCTAGTCCCTGCTCTCTCCTCCAGGGAAAAGAGATGTAGGTACCCAAATAGAGACTCAGTGGCTTTTAGAGCCCTATGTGGGAAGAAAGCAAGCTGAGAGGAAGGATAGTGGTCACTTCTGGGGTGCTTTTGGGTGAGGTGAAGGTCCCCTTGCCACAGTCCCACTACAACCTTCAGCTGTAAGAACCTGGGCATTGAGGACCTCCTGTCTTATCAGCAGGGCCCAACTTTTTGGCTAGGAATAGCCCATCCTGAGCACTGGTAGAAAAGCATGGCAGTTACTCATTGCCTAACTTAATTCAGGCCTGCCGGATTCTGGTAACTTTTGGGTGACCCTGATGAAGACAAAGCCCGACTCCGTCTTTGTATGGCAGAGTCCCGGCTCCCGCGGGTTGGGCAGGCAGTCTGCCTGCCTGGGACATTTTGCCCAACTCAGAGGTCACCTTGCCTACCCACACTTCGTTGTCCTGTATCTGAATAGAAGGATTCATTCTTCCTTGAACTGTGCCCACTTTGGAGGAGCTGCTTTCAGGAGAGGGTGAGTAGAGAGGGCATAGAAGATTAGCAAAGTCAGTGGCAGACAAAAGCTGAGATTACCTGCTGGGGATAGGGGTGCTGGGGATTTGTAACTACATTAACATCTGGCAGGGGCCCTCAAATGTGGCATGGCAAGTCACTTGATTACATGTATGTTATTTAGTTAAATTTGTGAAAATTATGAGATGCTCACCAACCCAGTGATAAACTCCCTCCCTCCCCATTGGTTGGCCTGGTCACATGGCTGCCCAACTTTATTCAGTTGACAGCAAGTAGGAGGGCCCTATGGAAGGAGAAAAAAAGACAACACGAGAAAAATTAGTATTTTCTACCTTCTGAAATTAATGGCCATGAGTTCGTATATGGTGAACTCTAAGTATGTGGACCCCAAGTTTCCTCCGTGCGAGGAATATTTGCAGGGCGGCTACCTAGGCGAGCAGGGCGCCGACTACTACAGCAGCGCACAGGGCGCCGAGTTCCAGCCCCCGGGGCTCTACCCGCGTCCCGACTTCGGTGAGCAGCCCTTCGGAGGAGGCGGCCCCGGTCCCGGCTCAGCACTGCCTGCGCGGGGTCACGGACAAGAACCCAGCGGCCCTGGTGGTCACTACAGCGCCCCAGGAGAGCCGTGCCCGGCGCCTCCGCCCGCACCCCTGCCTGGCGCCCGGGCCTGCAGCCAGCCCGGCGGCCCCAAGCAGCCGGCCCCCGGGACGGCACTCAAACAGCCTGCTGTGGTCTACCCCTGGATGAAGAAGGTGCACGTGAATTCGGGTAAGGCAGGGGCCCAGTGTCCCCACGGCCCCCACCACAGCCCATTGGCCTGGGCCCCCGGGAGAGGGTGTGTGTGGATGGGGACGGGTGGAGCTTCCTTGGGCGCTGCAATTACTCTCTCCATAAATTTTTATAGCTGAGGGAGCAGGCCGGGACCATGTGGCTGGATGCTTAGCTGTGGGAGCAAAAGGGGGTGGGGATGGGGTGGGGTGGGGGAGGACTCCATTTTCAGAGGAGAGGGAACGCAGTGGAGAAGGGCATTTCCAAAATGTTTTAGGAATTCCGGAGCTCTTGATGGAGCAGGGAGAAGGGAGCATTTTGGGGGGATTTTGTGAGGCGCTGGGGGGAGTGAGTGGGTGTGAGGCGGTGGGTGGGAGTGTGCGCGCCGGGGAGAGGACAGGAGGGAGGAAGCCGGGAGCCTGGGAGCGCGCGCGGGAGGACCTCGGCCTCGGGCGCTCCAGGAAGTGAGCCGCAGAGGCCAGGGGCCTAACTAGTGGCCTGGCGCTGACCTGGCTGTCCTGTCCGTTTTTTGTCTCGCAGTGAACCCCAACTACACCGGCGGGGAGCCCAAGCGTTCCCGGACGGCCTACACCCGGCAGCAAGTCCTAGAACTGGAAAAGGAATTTCATTTTAACAGGTATCTGACGCGGCGCCGTCGGATTGAAATCGCTCACACCCTGTGTCTTTCGGAGCGCCAGATCAAGATCTGGTTCCAGAACCGGAGGATGAAGTGGAAAAAAGACCATAAGCTGCCCAACACCAAAGGCAGGTCATCATCTTCTTCTTCTTCCTCCTCCTGCTCCTCCTCAGCCACCCCAGGCCAGCATTTGCAGCCCATGACCAAGGACCACCACACGGACCTGACGACTTTATAGAAGTGGGGACTCTGGGCCCAACCCTCCCTTCGCTCCAGGCTGAGCCGAAGCTGCGGGGGCAGGCCGGGCCTGCTGTCACCTCACTGGGCTCTAAGGTACTGTGGGGTGGACCTGGGACTTGCAGGCCGCCCTCGGACTAGGTTAGCATCCCGCCCGAGGGCAGCCCCCTCCCTAGAGTGGGGAAGGGGGTGGGAGGGATGGGCGGGATTCTCTCTACGTATATTATATGGCAGGAGCTACTGAGAACATAAAACCTTGGCGAGTCATTAAACTCATGAAAATCTCAGCTGTTGGATTTTGACTTTGCAAATGAAGGTTGGATGCTTTATCCCAGTATGAATTTGGACACCCTCCCCCACTCCACCCCTCCAGGGAGCTTTGTGGTTTAGTAATGTGGGGGAGTTGAGGCAGAAGGTTGGCCACCCCTGTGCTAGGTGCTTTCAATGGGAGCAGGAAAGCTGGGCCAGGATTTCTGAACTTTCTGGGTTGTCATACTTCCAGTGTGATTAAAAAGAAAGTGTTTTGCTCCCAATGGTCCCATGCCCAAAGAAATAGTGTAAGAAGGAAAGGAAACGGGTTATTTTATGTTTAGATTATATTTGCTTAAATATTTATTTGTTGGAAATGGGTACAGAAATAACTAACACCATCATGCCAAAAATCTTTAGATGGCCAAAGGGGCTGAGCTTCAGAGAGCTGGAACAGATATGTGTGGACTCACTCCTGGCGGATACCTGCCTTTGGAACTCCACTCCCTCCCCATTCCTTGGAAAGAAATATAGGGGACCCTTAACCCTTCTAGAAAAAGCAAAGGATCCACTGGAAGTTGAGTTCTTGAAAAATATATTTCCACATGTGCTTGTTTTCCAGCACAGTGCTTATAAGCAGTTCTGAGTAATTAAAGGAAAGGGGTGGTGGTGAGGGAAACAAATGGTTCAACATTTTCCTTCTGGGGAAGGAAAACAAAACCTCTATGCCCTGGGCCATCAGATAATGACTGAATTTTCTGTTCCAACTGGGTTCCAAATAGCTCCCAAATCCTGCATAGCAGGATTTCATAGGAATTGGTGTTATGGCCTATATGGTGGAGGTTTGTGCAGTTGGGAACAGTGGGTAGGTGAGGAAGTATTGCTTTAAGAAAGAAACTAATTGAATCTAGAAGTGTACAAAAGTTGGTCTTAGGGAGTTTTCCCCCTGAAGTTTTAATTTAAGGGGAAAAAAAAAACCTTAAGGAAGTTTTTCTCAATCCATTAATTAGAAGCAGAAATTGCAAAAGTACAAAAGTTTACAGACCCTCTTCTTTGCCTTGAGAATAGTGCTTTTAAAAAATCAGTCTTGAACCACAGAAGAGATGTTCTTTAGTCACTTTTTTAAATGTCATGTTTGGGAAGAATTTAAAGCTCATTTTTCTAAAAATGTTGACCCTTAAGGATAAGTGAGAAAGAGTCAAAGGTAATGTTCAGAGTTCATATACTCAAATGAAACAAGTTTTCAAAAGTTTGAATCCCAAAGCCTTCAAAAACCAAAAGCCTCCAAAAAAGAAACCCCTAGTTATAAGTGACCCAAGTGGGAAAGCAGAAAGGGTAAGCTAAAAACTTAATATTAAGATCCATAATGAAGTTACTTTTCCCTAGTACTTTAGAATGTTTTAGCTTTTAGTAGTAATTCTTAAAATACACTTAAGTGAAGAGGGAAAAAGAGGCGTGTTCTTTGGTGCTGTGTCTCCTGAGAGCTGAGGGCAGGTATTCACTGAGGTCCCTAGGCTAAAATTCCGCTTCTCTAAAGTGTCTTCCAAGCCTTGGTCTTTTGTATTAGACCCTAGGGATAGCTCTTTGTTCCTCTTTGGGGTGAGCCTGGCTCTCAGACTTGCACATGGCAATACTTGAATATCGCCACGTCGGGATATTAAAGATGGATATTCCTGCATTATTCGCATCATTGTTTCTATGACAAAAAGCACAGAGTTCATACATAGTCAAGACGTCTTTTTTTCTGATGCCCCACGTTGAGAGGCTGAAAAGGTATTTTACTGAAGTTCGGCTAAATTACAGAATCAGGTTCATCCAGAGGACAAATTTTCTATTCGATTAGCTGTATTTCAGCCAGGAGGACTGACCTCTAAACCCTTAACCTTTTGGACTCTAACTACCCTTCTCCGCCCCCCCCCCCTCTTTAACATAGAGAGCAGTCTTTGGATGTAGCATTTGAAAAGAGCCACTATCCTTAGGCAAATTGGGGAGTTGCTAAGATTCTTTCCTAAAACCCTAATCTGTGCAAACATAGAACCTTCCCCTGTGGAGAAGTAAAAAAGTATATATTTTCACAACATCTAACTACAAATCTATTATGGAGAATTATCATGTAGATCTTCCTTTCCCAAAAAGTTTTGGTCACTCACCTAACTTCAGACCAAATGCCACACTGCTTAACTGCCTTTTCCCCTGTCTCAAAGGAAAGCCAAGAGTCATGTTTTCCTGAAGAAAACCCCAGATTCTTCTTAAACATGGTCCCACTACTTTGGAAAGTAATTTCATCAGAGAAACAACTTCTTTGTTTATAAGTCTCAGCTCTTCTTCTCAGCTTCCAGGGATTGTCTTTTGAAATGTTAATGGAGCCTGGCTGACCCAGAGGGTAGCTCCCAACCCTGATGTCCCACTCAGACCTCAGTATCCATTTGGGCCCCACAGGAGTGGGCCAGGAAAGGGGAAAGGCCCTCCAACCACCTAGGGCAGGGAAGGAAATCAGTTTCCATCTGGGAATATGCTCTGTGTGGAAAGCTCCAGAACCCTTTTGCTATTATTTATTTCCAGTTTGTTCCCCCCATATATGGGCCAGTAGTATTTGGTTTTGTGGTGTTACTTTTTTAAACCTGTGTTGGGGTCATGACAGGGGGAGGTGAAGTGTTTGCTGAGGACACTGCTCCTCAGACTCCCATCTCACTTTGTCCATTGCAGCCTTTGTTGTGAGATGACATTGTCAGTCAGCCCCATGGAGTCTGTTCACATGAGATGCTTTTTTAATAGAATTGACCAATGTTTTGCTGCCACTGATTAAAGTATTATTTATACTAATTGTTGCCTGTAGTTTTGATGTAATCCATTGATCTATATTTGAAATAATAAAAGGTGTAGCAAAATCTCCCTCCTGTTTGATGCCTCGACAGAAGCATTCTTTAAGTCTTTTAAAAGCTAACATTCAAGATAAACAACTTATTATTTCCTGTAAAAAAAAATGGCACCAATTTACTTGGTGTTAAGGTGTGATTGTTAAGGGGTATAAGGCTTAGCAATTATTATTACCCCCTCCTAGTATAAACACACTCCCAGTTTGGCCACCATTATTTTGTGAGCATGGGAAAGTCTGGGATTGAATTCAGGTTGCAGGGTGTTGGGCATTATTTATTAAAAGGAAAAGAAGTAACTGCCTGGGCTATTAGGGGACTCCATGTTGGCTTTCTGCTTGGTGCAAGCCAGCCCCAGACCCCTTCAGTCTAGGACCTCAGAGGAAGTCTTTGTAATTTGTATAAGAAAACTTCCAGCTGTCCAGAAGCTGGGAGAGAGTGTTGGTCCTGGGCTGATCTGAGCTGAGGCTGTCTTGTAGCGCCTCTGATCTGACCGAGCTGGCCTCCAATCCTGGGCTCCCTCTACTTTTCTGGTGCTGCTCAGCTCCACCTGGGGCCTTCAGCACCTGCCCCTCCTTCTCGGCACCTCTCCACCCCTCAGACAACAATAAACACTCCCACTATTAAAAAAAAAAAAAAAAAAGTACTGTGCACTATTTTTATCGCCAGGGCTTTTCCTCATCTTGGCCTCAGTCTTGAAAAGGGGGCCAAGACAGGAGTCCCAAAATAGATGGGGGTCTTAATAGAGACAGGAAATGAATAGAATGCATAAAATCAGACATGTGTCCTTAATATATGGAAGGACTCGCTCCAGACGCGTGGACATGTGTATTTATAAGTGCTTAGACAGAAGTTTAAATATTCAGACACATTTTATGATTGTCCTCTGCCCGTCTTCTGGTTAATGGCTCCTCCTGTGCCCACCAATACATCAATACCGTTGTGTCTATTGAATCACCGGCAGGGACGAGAAGGAAGCGAGTCCATAGCCAAGCCCGCTGAGTACAGTACAGTAAATCGGGACCCTCAGCAGAAGGCGCTTCCCGCCCGCCCGCCATGTTGGGGAGCCCTCCCTGCCCCCCGCGCCGGGCTGAGCGGCCGGGGCTCGCAGGCAGCCGGGGGAGGGCCTTTCATAACCCGGAGAATTTTCAAAGTGCAAGGAAGATGATAAGAATAGATTTCTACAAGTCCCGACCACGTGATTGGCGAAATAATTAATTCAGCACGTCCCTTAAGAAACAAGGAGTCGTCATTAATCTGCCACGCAAAGGGCTCTCTCCGACTTGGAAAGTGCAGGGATCCCAAGAATATCACCCGCTGAGGGGGGCCCCGCGCGGCGCCCCCCGGCCCTCCACCCCCGGCCCCAGGCGGCGGGCGCGGGAGCGCGGCCGGCAGGTAAATATTTGGCGACTTTTATTTCATCAGATTTAAATCCTTAATGAACTTAGCTGTCAGGGCCGCTGACAAATAGTTCCCTTTGCTTCCTGATTTGGAACCGCGCGCCGACGAGAAGTTGTCTGTGGCTTGGATAGTGACCCTTGGTTCAGCAAAGCTTTGCACTTATGAAAAATTACTGAGAGCGGCCGAGTGTGTGTGTGTGTGTGTGTGTGTGTGTGTGTGTGTGAGAGAGAGAGAGAGAGAGAGAGAGAGAGAGAGAGAGAGGATGTGAGGGTGTGCAAAGGGCGAGGGTGCGAGGGGTGAGGGAGAGGGTGCGCGCAGGCTGCTCCGAGACAACAAGAGTTGTAAAAAACCGGCCTGGCTCGGGACACGCCTGGCGCACGCGGGCTGAGGTTGCCCGGTCGCCTGTGTCTACCGGGAACAATGGTCGCTGTCACGGCATCTGCCGCCTATTCTTAAACCGGCGAGAAAAGGCCCCGGCCCTCTTTTCAAGCGAGGGTCGTAAATTTTTCTTTGCGTCATAATAGAAGGCTATAAAATTGAGTTGAAATTTTACCCCAGGCAGGTTTTAACCAACAGATAATGATTTCCGAGTTGCTTCTCCCACTCTCCCCTTTCCTCTCCCAAGCTCTGCTCCTTCTCCCAGAGAGGAGTTTCTCCTTATTTTCCCTGTATTTTTACTTTTTTTTTTTATGATCTAAAATAAAAGCAAAAGAAAGCTTGAGTGCGAGAGCCGGGCGAGAAGGGCTCCTCCAGGAAAGGGATATGCGGGGGAGGCAGGGGAGAACTGCAAAAGGCCATCTCTTTCGCTTGCTCCCATTTCAGCCTTCTTTTTTCCACCCGCACTCCAAAATTTGGGAGTCCTCTGCTTCCGCCACACCCCACTCCCAGCTTGCTGAGGACCTGGGCTGGGGGCAGCAGCAAAGGTTCTCTTCCTCTAACTCTCAGCTCTGACCTGTGTGTCCCAAAGAACAGTCTCTTTATTCGGCTCCTTTCCTCCTGAGATGCCTCCATTGGCTTTGAGGATGATTTCAGCAAGCTGGGACTGGCTGTCTGCGGTGGTTGTTTTGGGACTATAGGTGTTTTCATTCTTTTTTGGTGTGTGTGTATTTTCGCGTCAGGAAAGAAACAAAGTTTCCTCCGTTATGAATTATACATTCAAACAATAACACATTAATTCAATTATTCAAAGATGACAAATGTTTATGTGCTTAGCAAGTGACTCCAGCGCAGATTCCGGGCGCTTTCTCTGAGCTGCTTGCATTTTTCTCAATGAGAATGGTCTCCCCTCCCACCCCCACCCACTTCAACGCACCCAGACATCCCCTTGTAGTCCCAGAAAGAAACCCAGAAAAAGCTTCCCTGGCCGGGCAGCCCGGCAGCCCACAGCCTCCCAAGGCCTGGGCTTGGCGGGCACCGGCCTGGGCTATTTTATCAGTGTGACAATTGCCCGAGTTGGTGTGATAAATCATCGTAAGTAATTCCTGAAAGGGTGTGAGGCTGTTGGGGGCCGGGCGAGGACTGTAAATCTTTCCGGTTTATTGCTCTATGAACATATGCTCCGATTGAAGAAGGCTTAGATCCTTTCCTGGAGACAAATTCCCGCAAAGCAGCCCCCCTCTTTGGCTGGGGATTAACACTTGCCGCGGGCTTCAGGCTTGGCCCCTAGCGGGAGGTTTGGGGGCGGGGTCCTCCGAGTGGGAGTGGAGTGGGACACACACGGTCGGACTGGGAGAGACACCCCGAGTGGGTCTCCGCCCTGGCTGGGACAGGTGAACAAAAGGAGGGGCTCGCCAACAGGTCTGGAGGCTGGGACCCTTACTCATCCTCAAGGACATCCCAGAGTCTCTGGGATAGGGATGCGGAGGATCTTCTTCCCTTGTTCCTGTGCTCATCTACGGCTTTTTGGGCACTTTCCCTTGTCTGAGACCTTCTAAGCAGCAACTGGGCTCCATGGCTGATGCCGCTGAGAAGCAACATTGGCAATGAAAATCCCTTTCGGGGATGGGGTGAAGAGCTTTTCTTAGTGAGGGATCTGGGATGTGGATCGGGCAGAATGGAGATCCCTGGGAGCTAGCTACAATCCAGGAGGTGGAGACTGGAGGCTGGCCGCTGGCCCAGGTGTGCTTAATTCTTCTTTCTACAATCAGAATGGGTACGGTGAATCCCACCCAACCTCTTGGAGCGTGGTGGGATTCTGTTATGATTTAATATTTATAAAATAGAAGTTTCCTTGTCCCCCAGGTAAGCCCAGCAGGGACTAATTCCGCAAACCCTCTTGCCTTCCCGGAGGCACCGCAGGAAGCGGGGAAGTCGCGGCCTGGCTGTCGCTGGGCCTGAGGGATCCGTAGGCCTTGCTCAGATCTGGAGATGTATACAGGTCACCACGGGCTGCGGCTCAGCGCCTAGGCAACTCCAGGCCTCGAAGGACCCGGGTGGGGTGCTCAAGGTTCAGAGAGGGTCCTGGCCAGCTGCTAGGGGACTTTTCTGTCTCCGAAGTGGTGGTTTGCCTGCGGAGTCCGAGGAAGCAGCCAAGGCCCCAGGGAATAGTGCTGGTAGCAAGGTTCCCCGGGGTGACCGGCCAGGGATGAGAGCCACCGAATCCCACAGCCTGTGCTGTGCCACAACTTCAGTGCCTCACCAAGGCATTGGGAAGATCCAAGCGTCCTCCTAGGCGACGGGAGAGAGTCTTGCCCCGGTGCATTTGGATACCGAATACCAAATACCGGGCAAGGCGACCGGGGAGCTAAGGGAACCCTAAATTAATGCTGCTTCACAGCCCTTTCCATAGATGCCTCTAAGGAAGATATTTTTTTTTTTAAATTTCCAACCCCCGAACTAGTCTGGCGGAACGCCGAGCCAGAGTCATTTGTCGTTGAGGGGAGACTATCAAGTTCCCATCCCATTGCATGCAGCCAGGCTGTGGCCGGGTAAGCCCCAACCTGAGAGAGAGAGACTTTCCCTTCGTCCCACACCCACTCGAGTCTGCCGTTAAGAAGAAGCCCGTGTCCCACGCCTCCTGCGCCCCTCCTCCTATCCCCCCAGGCCTGGCTGCGCTCCGGGGCTGGATGGCGTGAAAGTTTCAGCCTCAATCAGTACAATCTTCCCTTGGGGTCACGTGAACAAATATGCTCACATTTGAAGGCAGCGTCTGTATTTCCCGACTATGAGGGGGTTTCCGGGGCTCTCTCCAAATCCAGAAAGGACTACGTTCCGAAAGCAAAACAAACCCTGAGCTCTGGGGGGCCTGGGAGGGCTGGGCAGGAACCTAGGAGTGGGTGGGGGTGCGAGTGGCCACCGCTTGGGCCCGAGAGCTGACCGGCGGGTGGGTGGACCGACCGGAGCGCAGCGCAGGCGAAGCCAGCTCGGGGACTGCGAACTCGTTCCTCCTGCGTTTATTGGTAGTTGAACCTCAGACTGGTTCCGTTCTACCGGGAATTCCGTGAGCTCGGGTATATGGCCGCGTCTGCGAGAGCGCAAGACGAGGGTTGGGACAGTGTTGTCTGCAGACAAAGGGGGAAGGCTAGCTCTGCCCCCCACTGGCGCCCAGTCTGAGGCCGAGGACACCAGGTTTATGATAAATTGGGATACAGGTAAGCAATTGCATGACAAAATGGAAATCTTTGGGCACGGGGCTGCTTGCTGCCCTGAGCGGGATACTAAATATGATTTATTCTGTGTAATCTGTGATCTTGATTATTGCCAATTGGTGAGGCAGCATGCGTAGACCTAGATACACTTCTACATATACATCGAGGACTGTGATTAATCGTAAGGAGGTGAGCTTTGTGGGGACGTTCCCCGCCTACCAAAAGGTTAGGAGGACACTACCTTGCCAGGCTTGGAGGGTGGCTGGCAGTACTGGGGGTTGTGGAGGCAATTTGAGGAGGGGTTTCTGTGAGGGGGTTGGGGGCCGGAGTTAGTATTTTGAAGGTAACATGCAGTTATGAGAATGAGCTGAAAATGAAATTAATAAAAAGAAACTTTTTTTTTTTTACACTGTCACTGCCAAAGTAAGATGGAGCATCACATTAATTCTGTGTCTTGGGCTGCCGGGCTGGGTGCAGGCCGGTTGATTTATATGTATTTAAAATAAACTCAGTGGCCAGCCAGCCAGCTCCCTGCATTGTTCTGGAATCCAGCTCCACACACTCATTCTTTGCCTCTTGCTGTTGGCTTAGTATTTTCCCCCTTGGGAGTAAAATGCTCCCAACCTTCTCCCTGCAAATTTGAAAGAACCCCCAAACTACCCTAAAGAGTTTGGGAGGCTTCTCCACTCTCCTTCTCACCAATCTAGGGGTTTGACTGCAACAGTGGAAGAGAAAAGGTTTAGTGTTTCTGGGTCCTTTTCCCCAAGGAACCCCGAGTGAAAGCTAAATCATGTATTGATTCCCGCATCCCACCTATCCTTTTGTTTACTTGTTCCTTGAGGCTTCTTGCTGGGGGAGGACAGGACAACCCATCCCAGGTCTTACCCTGTTAAGGCCAGACTGAGTTGCTTCATGAGATCCAGTGAGTTGCTGTGTACTCAAGAGAAGGCCACTGGGCCAAACCAGACTGAACCTTAAGGAGAAGGGACCCCCAAAGCTAGGAGCACTCCCAAAGCCTATTTTGGGACAGGCCCCATTGGGAGGACTGATTTCCAGGAGCCTCACCATCAAAGGAGAGCAGTAAAGTTGTTTTGTCAATTGCTTGAGCTTGGCTCCATCAGAACTTAAAGTCGGTGAACATTTTTCTTCGTTCACTGCCTTGGAGCTGCGTGCCTGCCAGCTTAGTCAGCTGAATCCAATTACTGCGAGCAGCATTTCATTTGGCCCCATGGAGCACTCACTTATAACTTCCCCGAAAATTTCAATAATCCCCACCAAGGCTCCACGCTGGCCCTATCCTAAAGTGTTTTCCCGGGGTGCTGCTGGGGGGTGGGGTTATGGAGCCCGGGGTTGCCTGGAGCTAGCTTTTGGTTGACAACTGGAGGACAGGGCTCCCTCCCGTTCTCC